TATGTACATATATGTAAGTATGTATATAAATATATGTATGTATACATACATGTATGTATGTATGTATATACACATACAAGTATGTATGTATACATACATACATGTATCTATATGTACGTATATATATGTATATGTATGTATACATGTATGTATACATATATATATACATGTATGTATGCATGTATGTATACATACATACAGTACATACATGTATATACATGTATGTATGCATGTATACATACATACATGTATGTTTGTATGTATGTATACATACATGTACGTACAAGTATGTATACATACTACATGTATATACATGTACATATATACATGTATGTACATGTATGAATATACATGTACATACATGTACGTACATACATGTATGTATACATACATGTACGTATACATACATGTACGTACATGTATGTATACGTACATGTATGTATACATACATGTATGTACGTACATGTATGTACATGTATATTCATACATGTACATACATGTATATATGTACATGTATATACATGTATGTGTACGTACATGTATGTATGTGTACGTACATGTATGTATGTGTACGTACATGTATGTATGTGTACGTATATACATGTACATACATGTATATATGTACATGTTTATGTATGTGTACGTACATGTTTATGTATGTGTACGTACATGTATGTATGTGTACGTACATGTATATACGTGTACGTATACATACATACATACATGTACGTATGTATGTATGTATGGGGGGGGCAACTGTTTGAATGTCTTTTCCTGGACAAATCCAACCTGCTTTTACTTCTGTTCCTCCAGACTCCTGTACGTACACATACATGTCCTGGACGTCACTGCAGGTCCATGAACTCATGTCCTTTCATCTCCCTCTCTTGTCTTTGATCAGGGATCTCCTGCACATGGGAGTGACCTTGGCCGGCCATCAGAGAAAAATCCTCTCCAGCCTTCAGAACATGACCTTTCGGAACAAGGGCAGTGCGACCGTGACCTTCTGAGCGCTCCTGTCCCGCGTGGAAACGAAGAGCAGCTTTGCAGGTACAGCCCAGGAGAGGGGCGGGGGGGTGAGGCTCTTTTTAACAGTCTGTGGTCAGTGGTGTTATTTTTTTAAAACTTCCAGAATCCACGATGAACTGAGAGGAAAAAAAAAAAACAAACAAACAAACAAAAAATGAATCCGTGTTTACAACTTCCTGTCGTGTCATATCAATGGGGTTTTTAAATGTTGCTTCACCAAAGGAGACAAAATAAAAACAAAAACACGCTGTTGACAATTCAAGACTCGCTGTTTCGTACGCTGGTGTGTTGGTCTGCTGGTAATCTGGACTCTGGTCTCCGGTAATCCCTCTGGATTAGACTTTCACAGAGAAGACTGGACTTTTTTCTTTTTTCCTTCTCCTCCAGTTTGGACATTAGCTTCTCTTCGCTCAGGTGTGATGTTGGAAGGCAGACAGTGGACAGAGCTGTCCTTCGTCAGGGGACGGACGTGACCTGAGGACACAGCAGCAGCACTTTGGTCAGAGTTCGTTCAGAGTGTTTGATGTTTGTGGTCACAGATTCCTGTCAAAACATCAGGTCTAACGTACAGCATGAACCTTAGTTGCATTTTCCGCCACCTACTGGGCTGGAGTGTGCACTGCAGTGTTACAGGTGTGACAAAAATTTTTTTTTTTTTACGGTGCGTGTGCGATGTTGTGGCGCTTAGGCCCAGAGGCAATGTCTCTGTCATTGGTGTGGAACCCCAGGGTTCACCTCCTGGGCAAGTTCGAATCCCGGTTAGAGCGGTTGGTACCTTCCAGTGGACTCACCACCCGCAGGAAGGTTTGGGGGGGGGTTGGTACGGGGCAAGGGGATTTGGGGGGCGCCTGCTGCCCCCGCGACCCGGTAACGGATAAGCAGATGAAAATGGATGGATGGATGGATGGATGGATGGTGTGCGATGTTTTTTTGAGCTGTTGTAACCACTGGGCCGACTTGTGAACTCCTGGACGTGTGTTGGACCAAATGCTGTTGAGATTTGTCTCGTGACAGGAATAAATGACTTACCTTTGGACTAGGTTCACACTGTAGGTCTGAAGCCTCAGGTCCAGTTCTTTTAATTCCTTTTCTGAATTCCATTTTTCTTCATGGACGTTGACGGCGTCTGCAGAAGAAGACGTGACGTCACAAAGTTTGTAGATGTTTTTAGATGTGGACTCTGCATCTTGACGTGAACCGGCCTCGTGGACCCCCAACCACGGACAGCTTCCATACCACGAGCCACACTTTTTGACAATCCTGTTCTTTCCACAGACCAGCTCCATTAACTGTTCAAAGTCATCTCTGTGTCTGGGTCTGAGGTGAGGAACTGGGATTTGACTTTTGGGACTTTCTGTAAAAGTCAGAATTCCGGTCCATTTTCCTGCAGTGTGAACGTAGACCTGGTGAACGTAGACCTGGTGAACGTAGACCTGGTGACCTGCCGTGTTTGTTCTTCCCACTGTCTCTCTGCGTGGCAGCTCACTTTTATTAAAGTCCGAGTGTACGAGGACCGAGTGGACTCAGAGACCAGACAACACTGTTGAATTGTGGGAAATTCACTAAGGAAACAAGCCGGCCTCTGACCTCTGACCTTCTTTGTTTGATGGGACTAAAGCGGTTGTTCTGATCCTGTCTTCATCTTCCAGTGCCATGTAGTCAGTCTTGAATGTCAGTCCAATCAAAGGAGACGTCTTTGTTTGGCAAAAAAAAAAAAAAAAAAAAACCCACCAAGGATCATCGTGACATTTTGAAAAAAAAAAACGGTGGATTTTTTTTTTTTCTTGCTTCCCTTTTGTTAAATGTTTGATAAAAAAAAAGTCTTGTTTTTCCAGCGCTGCACAGAAAGTCTTTTGTAAAGCCAACGACGCACACAGCTACGAGGGTTAGCGCCCAGTCAGCAGTATCCACAGGTTTCAGGGTGGAATGCTAACAGTGTGGTCCGAGCCGCTGTTTGATTAGCGCCGAGGCCCCGCTCCCACTACAACATGAGCTTTATTGAAGGAGAAGAAGAATGGACGCCGGTTCAAAATGTCACAGCTTTTCTCAGAGAACCTGACGGATCAAACCAGCCCTGGGTGACATTCGGGTCGTGTGTAATTTCCTCCAGGTGGCTCCAAATGCAAGCAGCGAATCAGGAGAGAGAGAGAAACTGGATCTGAAACAGTGAGAGACCAAACGTTAGACACTTTAAAACGCATCGTTTTTCAACTTTTTTTTTTTTTTAAATGTTTTCCCTGTGAATTTTTCTCGTATTTCTTCGAGCCGTCTCAGGCGTTCGCCTCGCCAACGCCATCGCCGTCTGAGGTGCAAAGTGCAATGTAAACACATTTAAAGGCCAATCAGAGGTGATGAATAACATGGGTTCAAATCCCTGTAATGCACACCAAAGCTCTCTGTGATGATAGTGGCCACACACTGACTTTCAAAGTGCTGCCACATGGAGGAAAAAAAAAAAAAAAAAATCACCAACCGTGTTCAAAATTACACCAGGTTTAAATCCAAGTAACAGGAGGGGGGAGGAGGGGAGGGGGGGGGCAGGTTTCTGACGCAAAAATTGGGCCTGGATTTATTTTTTGTGTGTGCGTGTGTGTCAGCAGCCTGAGAGATTCCCTCCGAGGATTGTGGGAAGACGGGTCTTCATATTGAAGGTCTTGGAATAAATGCATAGATAAAAATATGTTTTGATTACGTTGTGTGTGTAGCGCCATCTGTATTCAGTATTCATAATAAAGATACACAGCAGTGTTTACCAGCACTGAGTCACTGCTGATGATTTCAACCTCAATGTCAAACCTACTGCAGAGGTTTAAAGGTTTTTGATTGGCTCGGGGAGAAAATTCTGGAACACATTTGTAAATCAGTTTTTAAACTTTGTTAATTTTGAGTTATCATTCAACCACTGTTAACTAGATCTTTAGGTAAATCTTGATGACCCTTGTGACCTCTGACCTCATGTTAGCTAGGTTCCAGCTAATGTCACTGTATGTTGTTGTTGTAATTATAACGTAGAATTAATATTATACATTTTTTTTAAGCAGAAAAATAATCAAATATTTGTTAAGAATTAAGTTTTTATCATTGTCTCTTTAGGCTGTTTGTACATTAATCTGTGATTTTTGTTTAATAACAATTTATTTATTTATTTGTTGCAACTATTTTAGCTACATACTGTTAAATTCTGTTGTCAACATTTTTTTAAAGTTCTGTAAATCAATCACAGCTGTAGGTTGTTGATTAGTTAGTTAGTTAGTAGGTTAGTAAAAATAGGATGAACCTTTGGTGTCAGATGAAATGACAGATTAATTACTGACTAAACACTGACTAAAGCCGTTGACAACAGGGTTTTTTCTGCTTCTTAATTTCAGCCTCAAGTGTCACAGGAGGGCCACTTGGCCCCTGGGTATTTCAGCATTATTACCCCCCCCCCCCCCGTATAGCTGGGGACCCCCCCGCCAATC